TACCTCCCTACACTTGGCCGAATAGGAGCACTAATCCGCAACGGGTAATTCAAGAGCGGTTGGATCGAGCCTTGGTTTCAAGTGGTTGGTTAGATCAGTTGCCTAATTTGGCATTACACCACCTTTCTGATCAAGAATCGGACTAGAGAGCCCTCTTGCTAGCCATGGAACAACTTCAGCACCGTGGAAATCAATTGTTCCAATTCGATAAACGTTGGGGATGATAACCCTGAAGTGAGGGACATTGTGCAAGAGGTTTGGAGCCTGATGTTCGAGGGTACTCCTATGTTCCGGTCATGGTGTAAACTTAAGAAATTAAGACATATGTTGTATGAATGGAGCAAATTAGGAGAAACTTCGAAGTAACTTAGAACGAAAGATTCGAAGCCTTCAGAACGAGTGCGACACAGTACGAGGGGTGAATGTCGTTGATTGAGAGAAACTTCGTGATCTAGAGAGACAATTGAGAGAAGCTTGAGTGGACGAAGAGATCTATTGGTGGTAGAAGTAAAGGGTATCCTGGTTAAAAGAGGGTGATCAGAACTCATCATACTTTCATAACGTCACCAGAGCGCGTCATCGTCACAACCATATCAAGGGTCTTTATAATCTTGCGGGTTTCTGGGGCCCGACAGAGGGTTTTATGGCAGAAGTGACGTGCGATTTCTATGGTGACCTTTTTCATCGGGTGGTATGGATCTCCAGTCGATACAGGGAAAAGTAGCTTCGTTGGCTATTGAAAGGAGAGTGGCAGATCGCATGAATGCTAAGTTAACTGCTGGAGTGTCCCCAGAGGAAATTCGGCGCACTGTGTTTTAGATTGGTGCTACTCAGGCTCCGGGATCGGATGGTTTTACGAGTGTGTTCTTTTGGCAATTTTGGGACATTGTGGGGCAGGACGTAGTAGAGGCGGTTGGTCATTTATTTTCTACGAGTTTGCTCCTTAAAAATTGTAACCATATATACTTGGCTTGTCCTTATTCTGAAGGTTGACAAGGTCGAGCATACGAGGAATCTTAGACCTATTAGTCTTTGTCAATTTTCCTACAAAGTCATTGCAAAGATTCTGGTTGAACGGCTGGCCCGGTTTCTCCCTTCTATTGTGTCCCTGGGGCAGAATGGTTTTGTTCATGGACGCCAGATTGTTGATAATGTTCTGATCGGGCACGAGGTTATGCAGTACCTGAAGAATAAGAAGGTGGGAAAAAATAATTTCATGGATTTTAAGGTGGATATGGAGAAGGCATATGATCGGGTGGAATGACCATTTTTATTCGCATTGCTTGAGAAACTTGGTTTCAGTGTGCAATGGATTAAATGGCTACGAGCTTGTGTGTCTTCTCCGACTTTTTCTGTTTTGATGAATGGGAAGCCTTCTGTAGGGGTGTACATGGGTCGGGTGGTCCGGGTTTAGACATTTTAATCACCTGATCCATGCACTACGGTTTAGAAAATATTAAACCCAAACCCATCCAAAAAATTTCAAACCCTATGTTTGTTTCTAATTGGGTTGGGTTGGGTTGGCAATGTTTTTAAGTAAAAACCCAACCCAACACAAAATATGTAATATTCTACTCCATAAAAAATATTTTATAACTAATTAAAAATTCAAACGAATAAACCGAGGTGAAAGGTATCAAAATTCACAAATGTTGTTTGAATTTTAATAAAATTTGATTTACTTCAACTTATATCTAGTTTTTTTCACGACATTTGTTGAAATAGGCTAAAAATGTTATAAATGAACGCATCCATAATATGTTATTCTATTAAAATTGTACACAAGAAAAAAAAATTACGGGAATCATAGCTATATTAAATTTATGTCTAAACTTTAAGCCGAAGAATGCATTAGATTAGGGAGACCACGAGAGAAAAATATGGTGAAATATCTTAATTTTCTCATAACTATGGCTATATATGACATAAATATTTTTTGGATACAAACTCATACCAATTATTTGAACACGGGTTGGGTCGGGTTCTACGGGTTGTATAATCTAAAATCCTAACCCAACCCAAAAGAGGCGGGTTGTACAATAGAAAATCCTCACCCAACCCAAAATTTTCGTTTTAGCGATAAATACGGGTGGGTTGGATCGGGTTGGACGGGTGAGTCGGTTTGCGGGTGTGTTTGTTCACCCCTATCCTTCTGGTTATTTTAGTGGGACGCATGGTCTTAGTTAGAGTGATCCCTTTTCTCCACTCTTGTTTGCTATTTGTAGCGAGGCTTTGCTGCTTTGCTCCAGCAGGCAATCTCGTCCCGTGTTTTAACCGATCTCCGTATCAGTCCCCGGCGTCGTGTTGTCTCGCATATGTTTTTTTGCTGATGACTCTTATTTGTTCCTACGGGCTTCGCGATCTGAGTGTGAGAACCTTGTCAGAGTTCCGAAACAGTATGAGGAGCTTAATGGTCAAGGTCAATCTGTCTAAGTCTGCGGTTTGTTTTCGCAGGAATACGCTAGCGGTGGATGGAGAAGAGATGGGGCGCATCCTAGGGGTGGGTTCCATTGGTGTTACAAATCAATATTTGGGTCTATCGTCCCTGGTGGGTCGCTCAAAATATGATACCTTCAGATATATTGAGGAGCGAGTCATTCAACGCCTTCAGGGATGGAAGCAGTAGTGTTTATTATTGGCTGCTAAAGAGGTTCTTCTTAACTCTATTGCTAATGCTTTGCTCATCTATGTGATGTCTTGTTTCCTTCTACCTCTTTCCCTGTGTGGCTGTGTCATTTGCTGGATAGGCATTTGGCTAGATTTTGGTTGGGGGTAAAACGCAGTGAGAGGCGTATTCATTGGGTTTCTTGGAAATCATTATGCTTAAGTAAACTTGAATGTGGTTTGAGCTTTAGGATATTTGAGGAGTTTAATCAAGCTCTATTGGCAAAAGTGGCTTGGCGAATCTGGAAAGAGCCTAATTCTCTGCTGGCTTGGGTTCTTAAAGGAAGGTAATTTCCCAACTCCTCCCTTCTGGATGCTAAGACTAAATCTCTTCCTTCTTGGGGATGGCGTGGAGTGTTGCATGGACGGGATTTGTTGGTACAAGGTCTTCGATGAAAAATTGGCTCGGGTGAGTCGGTGGATGTGCTAACAGATAATTGGGTGTCAGCGTTACATCCCTTTCCCCCGAAACCTCATCACGGGATCATTGGGGTTGATGGATCTGTTGCATCATTAATATGCCTGAACCAAGGGGTTTGGAGGGTGTATTTCTTACATCAAATATCTTGCTATTCTGTTGCCTATTTCCCTAGTGCCTGATCGGATCGTATGGAATAGTGAGCAATCAGGTCTTTATACTGTTAAGTCTGGCTATCACTTAGCAGTGGAGTTAAGGAGACGAAAAGAGCTAAGGTTGAAGGAGAAAGCGCAGATGTGGGATCGTAGTCTTTGGAAAAGGAATTGGGGGTCTCCCATACCCCCAAGTTGCGGTATTTCATCTGGCAGCTGGTTCACAGTGTCTTGCCAACTGGTGAGGCACTATGTACTCGGGGGGTTGGGGGACTGGAGCCATGTCCAGTCTGCGGGGAGGAGGTGAAATCTCTTGAACATCTCTTATTCCGCCGCCGAGTGGCGGTAGTGTGGTGGGAAGGGGCGGGGCTTGTGGATATCCAGCATCGCTCCCCCATAAGCAATATTGGTATCTATTGACGCAGGTTGCTCGAGTGGAAGGAGCTAGATCAGGCAGCCCTAATGAGTGTTGTGGCCCTCTTCTGGCGTGTTTGGAAGGCCCGAAACTGGGTGGTTTTCGAATTTACTCAATATATTGTCCCGGTGTTGGTGTCTCAAATTCGATTGCAGGTTGTAGAGTGGGATGCCTTACCCAACAGTCAGGGCTCTAGTCTTTACTCAGGGAGCACAGTTGCCAGGGGCAGAGAGGACGTACCGCTAGGTGGACTGGTAATGTTCGTGGATGGGGCTACGTCTAGTGGTTCTCAAGGCACGGGTGGTTGGATTCAAAAAGATCCCACGGGTATGGTGGTGGTGGCTTCAGCGGCATTGTACGAGGGGATTTCAGAGCCGGCTCTTGTGGAGTTACTGGCCTTCCGGGATGCAGTTCGATGGTGCTTGGCGTGTGGGTTGCATTCAATGACTTTTGCAGGTGACGCTCAAGTGATTTTGAGGAAGATCGGGGATGGTGAGGTAGATGACGACGTTGGGGGTACGCTTTTGGAGGAGATAAGAAGTTTGCAAGGCTTATTCCAGGGGTTTACGGTTATTTTTGTTGGTCGTGACTGTAACAGGGTTGCCTACTTGGTGGCAAGAAAAGCCCTTTCGTTGTTCGCCTTCTTAATGGGGTTCATTTTTGTTTCTTGACTGTTTTCAGCTATGTGACTCTTTGTATCTGGCTGTTTTCACGGTAATACAAGTGATCTTTAAAAAAAGAAAATCACTCATTATCTAAACGATAGCAAAAGCAAATCTAGATTGGATTAGAACCACGACTTAAACTGGATAGTCATCAACATAGGTCCAGGTAAGCAAAGGAAGAAAAAAGGACCCATCTATCTAATTGAATTGGGCCTCCCCGACCCTTTTTGAAAGAGAATTGAAGAAACTCTGCACTTCCCCTTTTATGAAACAACAATGCCCTTTAATTTGGATAGGAGGCTGTTTTCAATATTTTTGGCATGAAATTACTTAAACACGCCACATAACTAATGAACTTTGTCAAACGCCTTTTCAAGATCAAGTTAATTCGGATTAATGTGACTACTACTGGATGGGAATGTGACCGATGCATCAACAATGTCCTTCATTATGAAACTTTATAGTGAGCTAATGGTCCATAGCAAATTTGAACTAACTCAATTAAAGCTTATATGTGGACGATGCTTGCAAACAATTGACATTTTGAGCTTTTGAATTTTTTTTTTTTTTGGTTCTAATCTAAAGTCAATATTATTATAGTGACTTGAGTGCAAGTTAGGAATTCCTAGGAGCTATATATTCACATTAATTTACAGCAGGCCGGCAATGAAGATAAAGGCAGAAAGAGAACTGTGAAGCCAATTAATTGATTTGAGGATGATCAATATCAACGTGAAGGAATGCAGTTTGGTCCAGCCGGCGGAGGAGACTCCCAAGTCGGTGCTGTGGAACTCCAACGTTGACCTGGTGGTCTTGAGGTTCCACATGGCGAGCGTCTACTTCTACCGGCGGCCGGCGGGAGCCACCGAATTCTTCGACCCGGCGGTGCTGAAACGGGGACTGGGCAAGGCACTCGTGCCGTTCTATCCGATAGCCGGGCGGCTTGGGGAGGACAAGGATGGCCGTACCGAGATCAACTGTAACGGTGCGGGCGTTCTGTTCGTCCTCGCGGAGACCACGTCGGTGATTGATGATCTTGGGGACTTTGCGCCCAAGTTGGAGCTCCGGCAGCTTGTTCCTGCTGTGGATTACTCCGGCGGGATCTCCACCTTTCCTCTCTTGGTTATTCAGGTAATTGAACTTTCAACTTGGTAAAGCAAAAATTTCTGTAGGAAGCTACTCCGAGAAATGTAGCGTGAACTCTCATAGTCATAGGTTTTGATACAATTCTATGTTTGAGAAAGATGATGAATTCTGTAATTAATAAATTTAAAAATTCTCAATTATGAATAACTGATGGTTATCAATTATTCCACAATTCCTTGTTCATATCCCCTCCCCCCAAGCTAAACCCCTACCCTACCCTTTAGATCTGGCAATCGAGTCGGGTTGGGTAATTTCGGGTTGAAGTTTTAGGGTACGGGTCGGGTCATGTTGATTTGGCTTATTTAGGGTTAAATATTCACCTAACCTATTCGGTATCGGGTCGGGTTACGGGTCATTTCGGGTTGAGCGCTCTCAGAAACAATATCAAACATGCTTCAAATTTTTTTAAAGAACATAAATTTTCACATATGCATGACAATAGTTTACCTAACACATGTCAATTAACATATTCTCAAATCTTCCCACGCTAATGGAATGAAATACAAATTGCACAAATGGTCAAAAAACAATCACAAGAGTAATACTACTACAAGAAACACTTGATATTTGATTATCCTTAAACTCCAAACATGTCTTTCAAATCCATGTGAATATTTTTAAACATCTCACCAATTTATGAGTGATTTTATCATTTTGGGAGTTACATATGAAATGAAATGGAATGGGTCTAACAGGTCGACCCGCTAACACACCCAACCCAACCCAAAAAATCACATGTTATCGGGTTCGGGTCATTCGGATTTCGAGTTATAAAAATTTCTATTTTTCAAGCGGGTTCGGGTCAGGTCAATAGATCGGATTGTAATTTGCCAGGTCTACTACCCTTCTTCATTCTTGTTTGAGGAGTCTCATCAGAATAACATCGCTTTTCGTCCTCTTCCTACATATGAACCTTTAAGCCAGAAACGGTAGCGCATCAAAAGGGGAAATACCCAAGACCTGCGAATCCGCCTTCATCACAGCTCTTTGCCAACAATCCTCTTTCGTGACGTCGGCCAATCAAAGGAGTCCGAGATAGAGGGAGTTGTCAAAATCAACTGGCTCCAATAATTTGAATTGTTGGGAGAGATCTATGTATGGTACTTAACCACTTCTTTACACGCCATTTCAAAAGAAAGTCAACTCATAGACTTGAAGTTTTCACAGACTCGCCATACCATATGTTGTAGGACAACGAATAATATTCTGGATAGTGAGGACTTGAACACGTGAGCTCAATGACAAACCAGCTATGATATCATGTCATAAACCAAAGAGTTCCAATAACTCGAGTTGGTGGGAGAGACTCATGTATTGTACTTAACCACTTCCTTTCAAAAATCAGCCAGGCTTCACATAAGAGGACAAAATCGTATTTTGCCTCTTTTGAACGAAAACCTGGATCTATAAAAAAATAGAATTTATTCTGAACTTTTTAGAACAAATATCTAAATTTTTAAATGTGATATTCGGGTCTAAATCACTTATTTACACATCCCCGTCCAAACGACACCTAATATAATTTTGAATGAATCCCGAACAAATTATATGAAAAAAAGATTGATTTGAATTAACCAGGAACTGGAAATGCAATAATTTATATGACGTGTAGATGACTGATGTATATATTTGATTTTTATCAGGTGACGTATTTCAAGTGCGGCGGAGTCTCGCTCGGAGTCGGAATGCACCACTGCGTGGCCGACGGACTCTCCGGCCTGTCTCGAGGCCTCGACCTCAACCTCCCACCCTTCATCGACCGGACCCTCCTCCGAGCCCGCCGGCCGCCCCGACCTTCTTTCCCGCACAACGAGCACCTCCCCCCGCCGGCAATGAAAATCCCCTCCACAACCGCCAACAACGCCGCAGCCGTCAGCTCCATCTTCAACCTCACAAGAGACCAGCTCAACGCCCTGAAATCAAAAGCCAAAGAACCCTGTAACGACGACATCAGCTACAGCTCCTACGAGATCCTCGCCGGCCACATCTGGCGGTGCGTCTGCAAAGCCCGGGGCCTCCCCGACGACCAGGAGACCAAGTTGCACATCGCCACCGACTGCCGGTCTCGCCTCCGGCCGCCGCTCCCTCCGGGGTACTTCGGAAACGGGATCTTCATCGCGGCCCCGATCGCGTCGGCGGGGGATCTGCGCACCAAGCCGGCCTGGTTCGCTGCGAGTCGGATCCATGAGGTTTTGACCCGGATGGACGACGAGTACCTGAGGTCGGCGCTGGATTACTTGGAGGTCCAGCCGGATCTGTCGGCGCTGGTCCGCGGGGCCCATACGTTCAAGTGCCCGAACCTCGGGGTAACTAGCTGGGCCCGGCTGCCGATTCACGATGCAGATTTCGGGTGGGGCCGGCCCATCTTCATGGGCCCGATAGGGATCCCGTTCGAAGGGTTGTCGTACATTCTGCCCAGTCCGATCGGTGACGGGAGCATGTCGGTGGCCATCTCGCTGCCGCCGGAGCACATGAAACTGTTTCAGAGCCTTATCTACGAAATTTAGCAGGAATTTGGAGATGCTGGCTCCCTACATAATCCTAGTAGCAGAAGGATTCATGAATAAATGTGAGTGAGAGGTTTCGGACCATAAGATGTTGGGACTTGGGAGTTCTTTTTATGTTGTGTTTTCGTCTATATGATAAACGGTGTCGTTGTGGTTAGTTAATTTATTTGTCATATTTATTATATTATTGTTTGGTTTGTAATTAGCCATTGACATTCTGTCACGTGGATGTACGGATTGCAGAAGTATGATAAGTTGGTTTCTCCAGCTATATAGATGAAACAAGCATAATCTTGAATGCTAAGAAAATTCTAAATCCTTTTGAGTAAACCTGTCGCGATCTGATATGAGATGATATCTTTTGATAACCCTTAATATCTGATTTCTAATGAAGTCTTGAATTGGAGCATATGAACGCAGGTGTTTGATGGTAATAATTAACATTATGTCGAGTCCTTTGGATTACGATGGGTCTAAAGATGAAATATAAAATGAGTTTCGTTTATGGAAGTATGTCGATGCATCCGATTCATGATGAAAATTGTCTTTTACGGATGGGTGTAATGTTGCAGTTATGTATTGAATTTCGAATTTCATGAATAAGGACCTCAGGCAATCGATAATGAACCATGTAAATGCTAAGGTCTTATGGAATAAACTGAAGAGAAGATAATGAACCATGTAAATGCTAAGGTCTTATGGAATACACTGAAGAGAAGATATGCAAAGGCAAATGCAACTAGCATAATCAACATGGAGGCCGTTTCTATTAATGGGCTTTGGGCAGAAGCTGTGGAATTCAGTCCAAATTAAAGTTGCTTGTAAATGTGCTCCAGGAATCTCAATCCGCGTGATGTAGTGGTTGTACATAGAATGACACGAGGCAAATTAGCTAATCAGGTTCTTGAGTCTAAATTCAGACTATGATCAGGTCATTAAGACCAAGCTCTTAACACAAAAACCTTTACCCACTACGTCTGAAATTGTTGATGATATGCTGGGTAGTTAGCATAAAAGGTCACAAACCTATTCACTTTGTACAAAATGGTCACAAACATTTAATTTTGCACGTTTTAGTAACATACGTTTGAGAGAATAACGAAATGGTCAGTCCATCCATCCCCGTCCAAAAAACCGTTAGTTTTGTCCAGTCAACACGCCACATCACTTAAAATATTAATAAAAAAGTTTAATAACCAAATCCAATTGAACCGGACTGGCCAACCAAAAACCCTAACTCTGTACCACCCAAAATCTTGGAGTTACTTAATAAAAAAAATGTTGGAGGGTTGCCCGCCCAGGACGCGTCGCCGATAGCCAAAATCCAACAAAGGGTCGCCGATAGCTTCTCCCGTCGTCCCCAGAATCGCACCCACGAAACAGTCTCCCGTCGCTGCTAGCTTCTCCGGATCGCGTCTCAGGCCGAAACCGACGAAGGGTTGCCGCCCTGGTTGCGTCGCTAACGAGAAGTTTCTGAAAGTCTTCGATCTCATTTTCAATCTTGGCCGCATGGTTCTCGACACCTTTCCCTATTCCATTATATTCAAGAACTCCGAAATCCCTACTTTCACTGCAACATAAATTAACAACAATTAACTGTTCTCCTTTTATGAAACCTAAAGCTTTGAAGCTAACAAAATTCCCAGCTTATCATGAAGCAAGCCATTCTAGCACAATCTCATTCAAGCCCACCGTATCTGTTTTCCCAGACCAATTACCAATGATCGAGAAAACACCCATCAAATACAAAAACCCCGAAATTATCTACATCGCTCAGTGGCGGAGGCAGGTTTTAAAACTACTCCTGTCCTCTTTTCGTATTATAAATATATAAATATTTAATGAATATAATTAAATTAATAATATCTAAATAATCTATTTTCATATATAAAAAATAACTACTGTTACAATTGGTATTTTCATAAACAACTATGACGAGTTTTCATATTCGGAAGAAACACACAATACATTCTTTGTCTACACACTTAAGTAAGTCATTTTCAATGATCTCACTAAACAACCATTAGCAAACTGGTCATGAGTTCGACTTCAAAGTTCGTTCTTCATATAGCTCAAAGCTGAAAATATTTTATCGACACTTGCCATAAAAACTATTGGAATCGGCGCTGCCACTAAACGTCTTCAAGATTGCTTGCAAATAATCGAATAGGCATATAAAAAAAGAGATCTATTACAATTGAGATTTCGTTTATTGTATAATAATTAATTCATTGTCAATTTATGATAAATAATGAGTTGTGATATAGTAAGGAAGTACAATAGTGTTGTGTTTCATCCTTCGTACAAACATATATGAAGTATTTTTGTTCCTCCCAAAATTTACCCCTGTCCCGGGACAATGCCCAATAGGGTTGCCTCCGCCACTGACATCGCTCATCTGGGAAACCATTAGCGAAAGCAATAGACACAATTCAGCTGGGAGATTCGATTTGAGAAGGGGAAAGAGGCGGCGACCCTTCGTTTGTTTCGGCCGGCAACGCGACCCGGAGAAGCTATCGGCAACCCTTCAATGGTTTTCGGCTATCGGCGGCGCGACCTGGGAGGTGTCCCTTCGATGATTCGCTCTGTTGGGTGGTATAGAGTTATGGTTTTCGGTTGGGCAGTCCGGTTCAATTGGGTTTCGTCATCAAATTTGTTATTAATATTTTAAGTGACGTGGCATGCTGATTGGACAAAATTAACGGTTTGTCTGGATGGAGATGGATGGAATAATCATTTTGTTATTCTCTCAAACGTATGTTACTAAAACGTGCAAAATTAAAGATTTGTGACCGTTTCGTACAAAGTGAATAGGTTTGTGACCGTTTATGCTAATTATCCATGATATGCTACATTAAAAGAATAATTTGAAAGGATAAGGAAATTGCAGCAACACAATGGAAGAATGGCGATTAAAGTGTGGCAATCACAATGGAAGAATGGTGGAAGTCTGGAAGATTAATAAGAAGAAAATTAAGAGATGAAAGCTGGTGGAAGTTTTAGTGGCTCACAAGCAAGCACACCCAATTTTGATGCTTTTGTCTCAGAAGCTAGTTTTAGGGTTTAAACATTCAAAATTAGACCGCAATTACAATGGCGTGACATAAAGATTTGGCTGCCTTTCACTCCTACAGAGTTGAATAGGCTTAGGCTCATGAATCCAAGATGGTGCCAAGTATGCTCCATCTCCACCTCTCTTTCGCCTTCTATAGCTCATAGTGCGTATTACGCTGAACACTTCACTATCATCCTCCGATGATAAAGTTGGGTATCTATTGCAATCAATCTGGGTTGGTCTTAGCCACCTTGTATCATGCCATGATAATGATAAAATTTTGGAGGACGATTCTTGTTCCTGAGCAACTGAGCCACCCTATATGGATCCTTTGTAAGTTTAGGGATATCCCAGGGCATAGGCTGGAACCAGAAAGACCGTATTTTTCTCTCACTTATCACAGGGTGCTCGAACCTCGTAATAATAGCCTCCTCGGTTTCTAGACTGAAGATGCCACAATCAATTTCGCCACTAGGAAAACCCCAGGGGGTGAAGGCAAAATAGATGCTGTTGCTTTTGATCCCGCCACCACCACCATCATTGTTGGCTACGGGAAGCGAAAACGCCTGGTGCGAACTGAGGAACAGAGCATACCCTTCCAAGCTCGTCACTTCCTCCCAACTGATTTCATCACGGCGGTTGTTGTTTCCTTCGATTCTTACCAGCTTATACACACAGAACACATCATTTGTCCAAACTTGTCTTCGTACGATGAGGAGGAGCTGGTCATCGGTACCATCATGAAAGTGGGCCAAATGGCGGCTCTCCGCCCGTTCCATTGTGGGACTGAAAGGGACTGTTGGTTCCTTTGCCTCAGACGACGACGAACCCGACGACTTGATTAGGTTATAACACTGAACACCAACTTGATTCGACAAACCGTAGAGTTTACCTCCGAAGTAGGCCGCGTCATTCAGGTGGACACCACCAGTATTCCTGAATCGCCAACGGCGTCCTCCTCCTCCTCGGGCCGGGGAGGAGAACACATTGCACCAAGCCAAACAGGCTGCGAACAGGACGATGACGTGGCAGCTGTGGTCAGGGTCATCATCGCCGCCGTCGTCGTCGTCGGGAGAGCAAGTGAGGAGGGCTTTGACATTTCCCAAACTGTCCTCCGGGGAGAATAGGGCGGCGGGGGTATAAGGGACGGGAGGGAGAGAGATGGTGGCGCCGGTGATCGGGTTGATGAGGTAGAAGCTCCGGGGAGGGAGGGTGCCGCCGTCGGGTCGGACCACGACCAGCCACCCGTCCTTGGATCCCACGTGGTGATTCCTCTGTATGGTGGGGCCCAGGTGGGGCCAGGCGTTGAATCCGGCCCCGCGGCGCCGTATCTCTCTGAGGAGGCCCGATATCTGCGAGCGGGACGGGAAGTGAGGGAGCGAGAGCCGCGGCAGCCGCCGGCCTGTGTCGATTGTTGTGCTCGTGGGATCGGCGAGGAGTAGGGTTAGGGGTAAGAAATCGTGCTCGTGGCGGCAGTAGTGGGCAGCGTTCTCCGGACGCCAGGAGGAGGAGGAGAGGGTTGCTTTCGATACGAGAAGGCCTGGGAAGCACGGCCGGCGATGGCGGAGGACATTACGGAGTTCGACGGCGGTGGATCTCCATGATTTGCACACTCCAGCGAAGGCGATGATCTGGGAAGGGGTCTCCAGATGCTCCGTCACTATCTTCTCAGCGATGTCCTCTGGCAGGTTAGAGTAATCCATTGTCTTTTTATAAGCTAGGGTTTCTATTCCCGTTCTTCTTACTTCTCTTATTCCATGATAGCTAATTTATAGTAGTCCTTAACTTTGGGTTGGGCTTCGGTTGTGGGACCGAACGGCGTGGCATGCCTGTGTGTACGCGTCATTTGCTTCACCATTGGAGCACATTCAATGGGCTCAAGATAGGGTGCATAACTAAATCTGGATCTTTCATTTAGAAAATCTAGATCTAAGGATAAAAAATTAGAAACAATTTTTATTTTTCTTAATCAACTCATATCTTCTTCGTTTTAACTCGGATTTTAATTTTTTTTTTTTTGCACAGATGGAACGAGTTCATTGTGCTCTACAAAATAAGATCCATTTTCAATATTTTTTTAGAAAAAAAATTTCTTGCCTCTGC